TAGACTTAATCATACCTCTTTCAGTACTTTCCTGTAGTGGCCGAAAGCTAAAGAAGCCTGCAGAGCTCAGGGCCTACTATGTTTACCGAGCAGTTGACAATATGGCTCATGAAAAGACCTCCCATTGTTCTTCTCCAGAGGCGTTCGCTCCATATATAAATGCCCGCTACGTAAACAGTCTCATCACGAAGGGATCACCACGCAATGATAACATCGTGCTCCGCGAATCACAAACTCGCAGTTTGGACACATGTCGATTTCCGGCGTAGGTCCGCCTCGCCTGTTATGCTTTAGAGTTAGTAACTATCCAGAAAATAAAGCCTAGATCCGGGTCATATCAGGACCAGCTTGAACCATCACGAACGACCATCTTCTTCTACAGACCCCCTTGTGAACAATCAACGACTAGAACTATACGATGCTGAGCGGTTTAGGTGAAATTGAGCCTATGCCACGACTGATACATTGCTTCGCCTCTCGCTATACGTGGCCACTAACCCCGAGGCCGAGATATGCCCAGAGTCCGTCTTCTGACAACTGAGCACGACAGTGCCGATACTACATCCAGATGTGCAAACGCGGCCTATATATATATATCCATACTAGATCGTACAAGAGGTCACGGAAGGGAGTCACAGCTTCGACAACGGCCCGCCAGACAAGAAACGACTCCCGGAGTCGAAGCCTGGAAGACCAAGTGGATTGTTACATGCCTTTGGCTTCAGTTGCGCCGACGAGCTGTTTTCCACCAACTAGAACGGGTTGGGATCAGAATGGAACATACCACGGGGAACGAACCAGCAATCAACTGTTGTTCGCAATTGCTCCCATAAATCAAATAGGAATGATTAGTGACAAGTTGTTCGAACATGACAAACCGACAAAAAGCTTGTTAAAATGAGCGGGGGGTACCGCGATCTACGAATGCTGGAGAGGATAGTGTCCAGTAAAAAGGTATGTTTGGACCCTATCTCGCCCGTCGCCTTATTGTACTTAACAAACATACGTATCGTAACCTCGAGGCGGCAAAGGTGGACAAAGCTGGTACTTCATCCGTAAGAGATCATATAGTTCTTTGTAATAGTATCATGCTTTGTCTCTCTCATCGTGAAGGATCTACGTATGGCTACATATATGCATCGTGGTCTATCTCAGGGTGCGGCTCATACTCATCGCCACCAGAGATTAGGGACTACACTCAGGGCAAACCCACAAGACATGAAGGACATATCGTTCCGAAATCCTCACCTTCCCTTTACGGAAGGTTCCAGATAGGAAAGGGCTTACAGCATCGAGTGTCAACGCACGACATCTCGATGACAAGGGGGGATTCCAACAAACCGGAAAGCACCTCACAGCTCCCCGACGCTTACACGGAAGACGGACAGCGCAAACCCGGGAGTGAAGCGTATTTACTTACTCCACAACACTTCCCTCGTGAGTCATAAGCCGCAGCGTGTAAACGACACTCGGAGGCCCTGAAATGGGCACCACCGCAGGGTCTTATCAAAAAACCTACCCATAAAGCCCCAGACCCCTCCGCGGGCCGGCCCGAAACAAGAAGGTGAACCGTCGACGAGGAAAACCTCCGACGACTCCCGGCCAGGGACGGGTTGGGGCAAGACTCTGCCGGGCCGAATCAGTGTCCCTGGGCCCCCCCACGCCCACCTCAGACCCCTGGATCCCGCTTGAGTGAAGAGAGTCGAGCACGTTTGGGGGCGTCCGTCTTCTCTTGGCAAGTCAACGAGACATTGATCTATATCCCAATCGGCATATACGACGTAGACGGATTTGTAGAATCCTAGCAATGTAGCAAAACGTGAAAAAGAAATCTACGACTTTCTGTGAGTAGAAAGAGGGCCACTCGCTTCAACACTCTAGCCAGACACTTGTCTTGGAAACACCGCAAATCAAAAACCCCGTACCTGCGCCGTGGCACACCTTTGGTCGGGTGGCTGTTGTCTCGTTCAGGAGAATCGAAAAATTCGGTCAAACAATCAGGCGGTGAAGAAAGAGTGAAGAAGAAATTTTTGTTGGGAAGCCGGAGAAAAGGAAAAGAAAAAAAAGTTTCTTCGACAGTCTCATCTCACCGCGCCACAACCCTCTCGAGAACCCGTCGGTGAGAGGCCGGTCAACGTTTGCGCACCGACAGAAAATTTTCCTGGCGTTCAGACATGCAGGCGTTGAAACATGTTGCGCTGTCAAAATTGGTGTCATTCGCGGTCCGGGGCCTGCAGAACCTGTCCGTCATCGGCGGATGAAAGAGAGACAGAGAGGGAGACCAAAAAAAAACAAAAAAAAACAAAGAGGCTGCTTTGAACTCGGGATCCGCCTCCTGCCGATCCTGTTGGGCGGGAGATGCGCCCTTAGACCGGCGGCGTGCGTAAGAAGGCTTGCCGTGAGGTGCCACGACAAGACGCGGCTCGGAGGCGGCGATGGCGGCGACAGGAGAGTCCTCAAAGCACGTGGAACGATCTCATTCAGTCAAGGGAGCCGCCGGCTGACTTCTCTGTCTCCCAGACTAGCGATATGGGCTGGTCTTTGGTCCTCATATCGCAACAACAAGCATGGCGCGCCTGACGACGCTCGCATCAGAGGTCTCGCCGTTGTTTGGCAGAGAAACAACCGGCCATAAGTCTAGAACGAAGACCTGGTCGTCGTGCGAGAACCGAGAATAATTGAGGCCGTTGGGAGAAAAGAGCTGAAGATTTCACATCGAGTGAAACAGGATGCCATCGGTACGAGTCACTGGCACCATCTGGACGGGGCGCTACAGCTGCTTTCCGGAAAGGCTGACGGTGTCCTGCAGCGAGGCGTCCGAGGCAACTCGATGATGCAGGTGAATGAAACATCTCTGTGGTTGTGACACAAAGCTCTGCAGCACAACATCTCTGAACACCAGAGCAGACCAACCATGCCGCCATCATCCATGTAGCGTGCCGTTGCAAGGTTGAGGTTGGAGGGTGGTGATACGGGTTTAGCTCAGCATGCAGGTCGCTCGAAAGAGGTGAGGCACAGCAACTCGCAGGCACCCATTGAAGATGGATTGCTTCAGGTGTTCCCCAAGCAGACCGGTAGCTGATCTTGCGGTGGCGGGCTGGCTGGCTGTGACCCATGGCCGGACTGGCGATCTCTCCGAGAATCTGTCACGAACAAAACCAGGTTGGTTTCTGCAAGATGCTTCGTCAGGGACAAGATCATCGACGTGTCGTACGATGCGAGCCAATGCCGGGTCTCGTGCGTGTAATACGCAAGCCCATGTCAACGATGATGGCAATCCGAGATGAGAGAGGGAGGCGCCTTGGAATCGCCGTCAGATGATGAGCCATTGGAGGTTGCTGCATTGCTACAATGTCGAGTTGGTGTGTACATCCTCAACATCTTGGCCGCCATCAGTTGTGATAAAATTTTCAATAGTTAGTGAACATGCACGTACCTGGCTGAAGACCATGGACCTAATACGGCAAGGCAAACTTACAGATGCCCATGCAAATCTGGCCGAAGCGGGATTTAGGACGGGCGTCTGGTTGGCGATCTTGCCGAGCAAAGACACTGCCCGGCAAATGCTGCAGACGACTTGCTCTTCTTCTGTAAAGACCAAAGGTTATCAAAGTGACCGTCGCATCGCAGGGCCCACTCAGCAATACGTCCTGCCTCGTGCACAATTACAGAAGAGTTACATTTGACGCATGCTGTCAGAATAGCACCGTTCCGTCTGATACGCGTTCGCACACCTTACTAGCGGCGGTCGGTGAGAAAGCAGCAGCCGCCGAATGATCCGGGCTTTGTGCATGGAGTACACACACCGAAATAGCTCGGTGGCTGTCGGAGATACGTCAAGGGATCTCAAGACCTTAGTCCAGCCACAAGTTTGTTAGAACTTGCAGCTCGCCATTATTGGTAGCATGCGAGCCCAAGGTGTATTGAAACAGTCCAAGACTCGAAACTTGCCGACCTTTGAGCCACTGTTTTGCTGCTTTGAACTTGTTTGGCACCGACAGCCCCAAGGATTAAAAGACGTTCGCCTTAAAGCGAGTGACCCAGAGCTGAGCTGCATACTGAATGTCTCAATCTAGAGATTACCGGTATGATGGTATCTCGAATCAAGGTCAATCTTTCCATGTCACATGTTGTCGACAGCAAAGTTATCGGACCTTTGCGTGTAATGTTTGTAATGGCAGATCATTTGGCAGCATTTGTAGCCCATCCATTGGCACGGGCAGCCCTGGTAACTAGCCGGCCGCTCGAGATGGGTCTCTGATGCTTCCCCGGGGCCCTCACCGATGAGAATTCGGGCCAGAATTTGTGGGTAAGAAGTCGAAAAGACCAGGCATGATTCGACTGTTCGGCACACCAAGCGGTCTCAACCCCAGCGATTTCCCTTGCGGCTGCAGGCGGCCGTTGCAACTTGGCATATCCATGGTTGAGGGATGAGGTCTGGTGACGATCCATCCAATGGTGAGAGCCGCAAAAATTGCTTTGACCAAGTTCATGTCTGTGCGGCAAGTAGCTAGTTGGGTCGGGATGCACTGACATCTCTCCACTCGCAACCGAGAAAGGGTGTGACGAGAGGAAGCAGGAATAACATCGCCCACGGGACAACATGCCTTCTCTCTTGCAGTAGGCTGGCCTTTCTGTGGCGCAAGATTGTCCTTTGGAGTGTTTGAGGACCCACCATCTATCGACCGTGTGACGGTAAAAGTACGTTGCGCGGTTGCTTCGGTCGTGGGATTTCGCAGTACCGGGCCAGGCCGGAGATAGCAAGCGTTGACCTGAAGCCTGTTGAGTTGCAATGCCTGGAACTCTGTAGTATCGACGTGCTTCACTTTTGTCATATATCTTTTCTTTCTCCAACGGGTAATTTGGAAGGGTTTCATCGGGAATTCTGAGTTTTACGGCAGAATGCCACGTTGGAGTTCAGCCACGCGAACGACGAGCGGCTTTCATGGACCGCTTGCCGTCCGTTGAGTGCGCCATCCCATGAGCAACGTCTTCAACCCATGCCCCTGTGCCCTTCCCGATGGAGGCTAAGTAGGTTGGCGGCGGGATGGTTGGAATGCTATGGCCAGGAGGTCTGGAAGCCATGCGGCTGCCGCGAAAGGGATGCGGTGACGAGATGTAGTGCATTACCGCTCGGCTCAGGAATTCAGAGGAGGCCCTGGCAGGCCAGTCAACGGATGCGTGGCAGGGGGCCGACATGGGAACTCGCACACGTCTTAGTCCAACGACAAGCTCTGTCTGTGCATCTCAACCAACAGGAATGGAACTCCTTCTCCCCCAAAGATGGCCTGCAGGACATTAAATGCAAGTCAAACAAGTCCGTGACCCGGAGCGCGCCTCTCTACTGCCGTATATTGAAGCTGTGTACTCCCAGAGACGCAGACGCAGACGCGGACGCAGTAGGCAATCCAAATCTTGAGGCTCACGTGGTCGGAAGAGGGTATCGGATCGGACGTATAAGGTAAGTGGGCAACCCAACGCAAAGGTCGAGTCGGCGTCGGTGGCGGACCAGCCGTGGTAGCCGAACGATGATCAGCCAGTCGCAGAGAACCCGAATGTGACTTTGAGGGCGACGACGGGAGCTCGTGGTTGCCAGTTAATAACGCACCGTAGGGGCGGATTCTTTCGACGGAGGCGGGCAACAATATTGGCCAGATCGGCCGACCAATCCGGGCAGCGACGACACGGCTGCAGGGACAAGCCAGCGCCCACGGCGACTGAGAAGGGTTGTATTAGTCAGGCCAGCCCACAGCTTTTCAATATGATGCTTCATGCCGTATGGAAGGCCAGGCCAGCGAAGAGACAAGGTACGTCGCGTTACCCGAGAGCAGTGTGCCAGGACTTGCTGGTATACTTGACTGGCGATGGCGAGGCATGTTGTAGAACTGACCTCGTCAGCCCAAAAAGCCTTCAGGGCGAGCGACATAGAGAGAAGACAGCGCAAAATTTTTGGCACATTGCGGCTTATGTGAGGCTAAACCCCCCCCCCCCCCCTCCCGTCCGCGCTTTTGTCAATCGTGTGGTCACTAGTCCGTATGTCCGCGTCGCCCGTTCCTTCGGAGGTTTCATTTCGGCAGAGACAGGGCACCGGGCTGCAGACTGGATGCCGGGACGGAAGAGGGTCACCGCTGGTGTGTGAGGTGTGCGTACGTGTGGTGGGTGGTGGACATTGCTGGATGGGAGGCTGCGCATTCGATGACGAAGAAAAACAGCTGGGCGCATGGTTGCTGTAGCAGATTTTGTCCGATTCTCAGGCCCTGTTTGGAGACGGTGCAGTGAGCCGATGGAGACTCGAGCAGGAGCTTCAGACACACGAACCCCTTGGTGAGGGAAGCTGACGACGTTGACAACCTGTGCTGGGTTGATTCAAAGTAAAGCTTCAATGGCTGAGGTGGTAACAAGAACCCAGATACCTTTGGCCGGCTTCTGGGTGGTGTGTGTAATTGTGAGAACTCAGAAGTCTCACAGTGAGTCGCTGCCCGCATGGGTGGGTTCACAATGTCTAGGTAGTCTCCTTTTCCTGAATCCTGGGAAGCTGCGTGCGTGCCGGCCGGTTTAGATGTGTCCCCTGATTATTGAGGCTCCCCGTTGCGTGGTACGATACCGATACAGCTCCTGTTCGGCGGCCGTGGTTGCCAATAAAACCTGCCACGATCCAAGGGGGAATGCCCCTTGCGGCTCGTCGTGTCGAGCTTGCCTCGCTAGAAACGCCGGACTGAATATTATGACCATTGACACCGGGGTGGGAGGGGAATACCCAGCAAAGAGGAGAGTACCTCAGGAGCAGGAGCAGGAGCATGAGCTGGGGCCAGATGCGCCTAGAGTGCCAGGCAAAGAATAAAGAAAAATGATCAGATGCTGCTGACCCTCTGGTGGTCCAGGTGAACCTAAAATCCATCATTAGCGTCGCATGAGAAAGGTCATGAGACCTGTTTGTATCCAGAAAAAGACAGACCGAACCCTGGGGGGCTGCGCCGCAGGACGGGGTCTGCTAGAGAGGTACCATTGCTAACAGTTCCCACAGCCCACTACGCTCTCCTCCTCTTTCCTCCACAAGGGACCAGCCAGCCCACTGCACCTGAGGTGAGGTGAGGTGAGGTGCAAGCCCGTAGTCCGCAGGTGAGGGTTCTCTCTTCGTACGGTGAGGTACGGAGTCGTGAGAGTGTCGTGAGAGTGTACGGACACGCTTCCTCGTGACTCTCGAGCCGTGATGTGATTATTTCTTTCCAGAGTCAAGTCCCTTAGGTAAGTTCCATTCTTTCCTCATAAGTTTTGCATCCATAGGATGGAAGGTACCTAGGTACCGAATTTTGTTTTTGCGAGCCCCTCCTTTAGTCCTTCCCGCCGTTGAGCTCTGGCCCTGGGCTGCCATTGGATGATAGACAGTCCGCTGCTGGCGGCTGGCCTACCTACTTGTAACCTTACCCGTCATTCTAGCACTCCGTACCGAGTACCTAATTACGCAGGAAAGTGAAGCATGTCACATGCATCGAAAGCTTAGGTAATGATCCATCATCGAATCCTGCCTTACAGGTTACGGATACAGCATGGCAGCAACACGCGATTATATGGAGCACGTGGACAAGGGCCCTTGAGCCAAAGTGACGGCGTGACGAGAACACATCCCAGGCCCCTTGCTGGAGTCCCGGAAAGGCGCCAGCGAGTCGTAACCACCAAATCACAATTCCCAGGCACCCCAAGTTGCCTCCAAGTTACCAGAAAAGCAGGCCAGCCGACAAAAATAGACCCGCCGTTGCTTGCTGGATCCAGTATGTTGGTCAAGAGGCTCAAGAACCCATGCGCTTCCTGGCTGCATGATTCAACAAGCTTGCCTATCCAGCCAGTATCGAGTACGGGGTGCTCCTTTCTCGACTCTCCGTACCTTACTGCGTAGTACCTCACCTTACTACGGATACTTCGTACTGCGGACTGCCATTGTTATGCTGCCGCAAACTTTGGGCGCACGTCCTACCTCGTTGAAGCCCAAGCCCCAAACCAGGGCCGGGAGCTTGGACCGTGCAATGACGTAGGAGTCTTTCATCAACATGAGGCATTCGCAACTAGACCAGCTGTCATTACCTCAATTACTGCATCGCTGTGGGCATCATCAGGAAATAACACATCCAACTATAATTGCCCGCTTGGCATGATCGGATGTTAAAAAGAGTGACAGCGCATCTGCTCACCAAGCTGGTTGTGGTGGCTTGCAGCCGTAGCGTACTAATGCCGATGTGCTCGCGACAATCAGATAGACGTTGGACGAAACTAAATCTGTGTTGGCTCGACTGCGGCAACCGCCAAGTAGTTGAACGAATGAAAGCCATGCCCGTCCAAAGTCAATGGCTTTGATGGCCCCTTCTGGGTCTCGCACTCCGTGCAAATCCAACCCTTGTCGATCCAGTGCGGCCATTTTGGCTGTCGTTGTCGTCCAACTTCATCGTCGACTTGTAGCTGACAACGTCGCTTGCAAGGCCCTACCTAGCGGTTCTCACATCTCGATTCCGGCAAGGGAAGCCACAGAACCAGGAGGCAGATCCTACTATGCTGTCACGGCCCAAGGGTTGACGGACCCAGGCAATAGCAACCGGTTCGTGCGATGACTCCACTTGGTTGTTCACAAAGAGCATCCGCTCATGGGGATTGGTGTCATGCTGTGCCTCCATCAACTACTGTACTGTGCTTGGCCCGTCTTGCTAATGTAGTGTTGCTGCGATACTTCGTAAACGACTTTGTGGTCCTGGAGAAACACCAACTTCACATTGGCGAGCTCCAGGCTCCACCCTCTCGGCCCCTCCTCAACGAGACGCGAGCCACAACCACGACTCCTGCTGGGCTCATTGCCCCGCACTTGGCCGTTTCCTCCACACATGGGAACGTCGTCATAGGACCTTTCGGACAAGTCTCTTTGGCGGGGTTGGGCCCTAGAGGGGACAAGGCAATATCCAAGGAGGAGTGGGAGGATCCAGCAGCACAGGAACCCGGAGCCACAACAAATGAAGAGTCTCCGTGGACTCTGGAGAGAGAGAAAGTTCCAAAAGTCCATATCTGGGTTTCCCTGAGACTCTTTGCCTATCCCATGGACGGTGAGATGCGCAAAATCCCTCTGCTTTCCCCTTTTCTCTCACCCCTTCTCTGCTGTTGGCCGCCCGCAGCAGGGCACGCGCCAAGGCAAGCCGCAAGCCACGGAAGCTCTGACCATTGACTAGCACCAGCTTTATCCCTTCCCATCAATCCAGGCATCCCCTCCTCATCGTAGCTCGGCGAGGTTTAACCCAGTGACTGCATCCCTGCTCTTGCATGTCCAGACGGCCGAACAGACTGTCAGAGGCGACCAGAGCGTCCTGGACTCCATTCGAGTGCAGAACATATGCGGCGGGCGAATCCCAACATAAAAGAAAGCATGATGTGAAAACTCTTTGCCCACCCACAGCGCCGTCAGAACAGGGGACTCTGCAAATCCAGGCCATCCGCAGCATAGACTTGTTCCCTTGGACCTGGAATCGCTGGACACAATGCTGGCAACTAGCTACTGCCAAATTCGCCGTCAAGCTGCTTGAGATGTAGAGAAAACGCATTCTAAGGTGGTATGTAGATGAGTCTGCCATCCTGCAGGTAGAAAAACCTCCATCGGCGGTCGGATGTGGCGATTATGAACTGCAAGGTTCTGCGGTTGTCTTGACGCTGTCTTGATCTTCCAAACTGGAAGCGTTGCTGTCACTTCGAGTCCAGCTGTGTCAAAGGTAACATGTCGTTTCCACGAATGGCTAACCCAGGGGAATATGTTGTTCCCTGCCTTGTTAAGAAATCTAGTTGATTCATAGTGAACATCGAATCTTCAAGCAACGAACGATCAAAACCTCTCGTGCGGCGTCTAGGAGGCGGGCAGGGCCATTGGGAGCGTGGCGGGCCACGGAAGAAAATGAAGTCAGGTTGGAAGAACCGTGCGAGTGCCTATTGGACCCTGCAGAATCGGGGCCGCTCAGCAGGTTGGTCTTGAGGCGCATTGGTAGCCGGCTACGCAAGATACTAAGGTAGTGCGTGCCTTAATCACATCGAGTTGTCGCGCGTCGTGTACTAGGATGATACACGTAGAAGACCCAGCAGGTCAGCTGGCCAAAGGTACCCGGCAGTACCCTAGCGAATGACAGCGGATTAGTGGACACGGCCCGTTTTGGTCCAAGGTACGGTAGCAAATGTGGGATGAGCAATCCTCGAGGGCCGGGAAGAGAGGGGTTTGTGGCACGTACATGATGGAAGCGTTATGGTCATGATGGAGGCTGAGAAGATGAAAGGGAGTTGACTGCTTCGGTATCTCAACGGTAGATATTGAGGAAGTATCCGTAAGGTAGGCAAGCAACCTAAGGCAACACGGCAAGATAGGCTCGATAGTACTTGGGGGAGGCAGGGGCAGTTGCTATCACCTCTCCCTACCTACCTTACAGACAGTCCGACGGTGTCTCAAAGAAACTACCGGCCTATTAGGTAAGGAAAGTCTCCGTACGTGTGAGTAGGCAAGTAAAATGCTCGTTGGATTCTTCATCCTCCACCGCTAGGGCTTGTCTGCAAAAGCCGCACCGAATGTTCCATTGGGATGTTGTGAATACTCTAAAGATTGTGATGAATGTGTGGAAAAGATTCGTATCGTATTGATTCTTTTCTTTCGCTTTTCCTTGCAAATGGGAAGCCCAGTCCGAACCCAAGTTTCTCTTCAGGTAGGCACGCAGATGCATACTACCCCATGTGCCTGCGTGCGTGCCTACCTTACCTTAAGTTACTTGCTGACCACGTCGGGTACAGAGTACTTGAAGGTATAAAATCAGCCAAGGCAGAACGAGTGAACGGCCATGGTATTTACTGTGCCACCTACCTTACCATGACGGAAGACACATGTGTACTTGAGGTAGGCACTATGTTAGGTGGTAGGTACCTAGCTTCCATTGAGAAGAATAAGACAGAAGAGTACGTATTCAAATGTTCGTAGCTGGCTTGGAAGACCTGGACAGCTGGGAAACAGCACGGCAGGTACCTTACTGAGGCAAGCCCGGTTGACAGCTGGAGAGCAGACAGGGAGGTACTGCGTACACATCCATTGGCTTTTTTGACTTCCGCTTGCCGAGTTTTAGCGCCTGCCTCCCCGTC